TCCTTATGCTTTTTCTCCACACCCTGATACTAGAATGCTCAGCCGGGGGATTGGCTGCCCACGCAGCGCCTTGCCTGTCAATTGATCAGGACCCGACTCCAGCTTAGTGCATCCTCGCTGGAAACCTCAAATGAGGTGCAGCACAAATGCATTCATCTTCATCAGAAGAGCACAGGATGGAGTATCAGGGAGTTATTGTGCTGCAGAGAAAAGCACTGGAACCATGTTTTATTTTTTTCTCTATTTGTTGCTTGGAGTGTACTATCACTATCTCATCATGTCTCTGCTGGGATATCTAATTATGTGCTGTCATATCAGTCTTTGAGCTTACAATTGCATCTTTCTTAACTATATGAAAAACTTTATGCTCACAATTTTTCAGGTCTGCAGGGTTTTTGTTCTTATTGGATGAATCACCGCTCTACCAGACACTTCAGTGACTGGGGTGAAAACACAATGCGCCTTTGAGGCTCCGACTTGTGATGAAAATGGAGATGGTTTGTATGCAGTGTTCCAGTCAATACCAAAGAAGAAACCAGCCCAGTGAGATGGAGAATCTGGATTTATTCTGGCCAGAGTAATTCATTAAACTGTTGCTCATGCCCATTTATCATAATCAATCAAAGGGTGGCTGGGCCAAAAGAGTAATTTAGAGCACTGCAGAGCTATGCAGGAGCTGAGTCTGTAATAAGTTTGAGGAAGATTATATAAGGCATTATTGGACCTTGGAGTACAGTTTGTGTCAGAATCTAATGAATCATTCATTAAGCTACTTGATAACTTGCCTATAGGCTACAAATCCATCCACAGGTTAACCCAGAGAATAGAGTAAGAAACTTAAAGTGAATTAGCTGCAAACTTACAAATACACATAAAGAGATGGAGCGGACCAGATGGTGAGAGCATGTGGAGGTTTACGGCTGATTTTTAAGCAATGAAAACAAGAGTTTTATTTAAAATAGCACTGAACTTTTCTGTTGCAAGTTTTCAGTCCAGCTCAGACAAAACAAACATACTTTTGTCATGACGGTAACAGAAGCTATATAATTGGCAACTGCTTGCTCTGGGCAGACTTTGGAACCCAACACTATTGATTGTGAGTAACACCAGATGCCAGGGTTGGATGAGCAATGAGCAGTGAGAGGGATAGAACTGATGAGTGTGCCACGAGGGGGTTGTTTGTCTTTTGGCCAGGGAAATGTGTCAAGACTCAGAACCTTCAAAATCCATCAGGATCCTGCTGTCAAACACACTACATGTTCATTAATGTGCATTAGGCATGTCCAGGAACCCCCCCCCCCCCATCCACCTTAAGAATTTGAATCTTAAACAAAGGCGTTAAAACCTAGAAATCTCATTGATCATTCACTCACATAATCACCTCTCACTAATTTCCTTGTCTGTTAATAAGAGGATGCATTATATTTCTTTATTGTAACAAAATACAGATACAGTATTATATGAGAGTATAGTAATGCTTTGTGAGATATGTGATAGAAAGTACTACTACTACTTTGTAAATGGTGCCGAATAAAACAATATAGCCGACAGATTATTCACCGGAACTGATGCCAAATAAGCAGCTCTGATCATTTCCAGTGCTTTTCCTCATCAGGTTTGCTGATACCACACGCAGTGAATGAGCGGCCCACAGTCCCAGCAGACACACGATGCAGCTGCTGTGCTGCTGCCTCTTAGATCTTCAGGACTTGGGCTATGTTTTGCCCCACTTACATGCAGCAGCTTTGTGAATTAACAAGGCTCCACAATAAAGCCTGCTTGTGCTGCAGTGGTTAGCAAAGCCTTCCTGTGGGTCTGAATTAGTGTTCTTGGACTTGTACCCAGAGTCCCTGCAGCCAAAGTAAGCCAACAAGAGAAAAAGAAAAAAAAGAGAAGTTCTTTGCTGCCTAACACCAGCAGAGGGGGGTGTGCTCAAGTCAGGAGGAGCCTGTGAGGGTGGCTGAAGCCTCCTATTGTTTCTTAGCAGCCACACCCTGAGAAAAAAACACACAGACAAAACTGAATTGTTGTGTTGTGTTTGATTGACGATACAATAATACATCCTGGCACACTTCACAAATCTGGTTCTTTTAATCAAAGCTACATTCAGGATTCAACATATACTTTAAAGAAGAAATGTAACCTTCACTGGTGTATAGAACACAAAAGAATACAATACAGTACATAAAAAGACACAATGAATCACCTTGATGTAAAAATTCTGAAAATGACCAAATACTGCATGGTAACATGAGTCATCACATAAATAAAATCCACAGATAAATAGATCAAGATAAAATACTATACTTCTTTTCAATATAATAGAATGAACCAATGACACTCAGATATTGAAAACCTTTGACCGACTCCAATAGCTGATATTTATAACCAGTTAATAGAGTTGAGCCCTTTCAGCAGTTTGAGATATGAATTACTTACTCATCATTTCAGTAATAGACTTTTCAAAGTGTTCTGAAAATAGGTTTTTAATTGTTCTGGCTGTTACTCAGGAAACAAACCTGAAAACCAAACTGCCTCAGTAGATCCAAGTCAACAGTGTTCCTCCTGTGGGGGGCTAATATTAAGAGTTTTTTAAAAATGGGGGAAAAAAGGCAAAGAAAAAACTGGTTAGAGAAAGCCTTTCTGTGGGGCTTTGTGAAATAGTCTGAGATGAATTATGCACATCCACTGGCTTTTGATATCCATCCCAGAGGGCATTTTTTCTCTTTTCATAAAGCTCTATTTTCTCCAACTATGCATCCTTTTTTTAGGGAAAATGACAGCACAAAAATAATTTAATTCAAACCAGTGCAAGATTAAATTCATAGCTTAATGTGTGTGTTTTTTTCTGTGGCCTATGGCTGGTCACTGGCTGAAGGCTGTAATGTTTTACATTAGGGCTTAATTTGATAAGGCAGACGTGTTGTAGGGGCAGTTTGATGCTATCACAATGAAACAGAATGACAGTACCTGAAATCAATAACAATCGCAGTGTGCACGTGTGGGGCAGTTGTTGAAGGTATAAAACTTGTAGCAGGTTCACTCTCACATGTGTGCTGTGGCTTTGTGTGTCTGGTGCTGGAACAGTAAAAGTGGAAAGGTGGAACAAAATGCAATGTGACATAAGGGACTGAACATCTAAGTGGCATAAAAAATGTAGCTAGGTTTATTTATCCAATCATAAAACATTCACTCACACACTTGAACATGTTTGGGTACTTGGTGTTTTGAACACATTAAGCACTTAATGTCTCTGTAGTCCAACGTTAGACCAACCTTCCAAATGAGTCAAGTAAGGGCTAGTAATCATGCACTGTTTGCTGATGTAATGCTTGTTACTGACAGTCTTGCATGATAGCACGTTGAGCAGGGGTCCTCACGTTTGTTTGATCCTAAACTGGCAACAGTGGCACACAGACTTAATGCGGGCGGTGGCTGGGAGGCAGCGCCCCATCCCTCAGTGAGAGAACCATTTTTGAGTTGGACTGTGAAAATGTTAAAAAGTAAAAAAAATGTACAGAAAAAACTAGAGAAAAGATCATGATTACCATTCTAAGAATGTCTATAGACAAAAATATTTGTTTTATACTTAAAAGAAAGTGGAAAAAAGTCAGTGTTAAAATAACTTAATGTACGATTTAATCATAATACTTAATAATTTACACAAATACATTACATTACCCTTTTTACAATAACTGGTTCTATGAATATTTCACTGTGACGCAGAGCCCCCCAATCTGATCAAGCTATAGGACCAGCAGATGCACAGCCCTCTCCAACTCTACTCCCAATCTAACCCTCATTAAAGCACCTTGACTTGCCTTGACTTTATGGTAAATGGTGAACACAGCTGTTGGTGAAATCATTTCACACAAACAAGAATGCTGGAGGTAGGAGTGCGGATGGCTTTGCAGAAACCCCTACTGGTGAGAAGCTGTAACTATAAGGTTAGAAAAAAATAAATAAAAATGTTATATACAGAATTTGATTCCATTTTTAAAATCAGTGTATATGTAAAGCTTATCTGACCCTGAAATGTGGAATGTGGCACAGATACAGTGAGACGGAACTCCTACTGCTGACCTTCCACACAAGCTGCTGTGCTGTTTTGACATACAGCAGGTTGGTGTTCAGGTTTGCTGTCTGTTGTAAAATCCTCTAAAACAAGTGTTTATTATAAATATATATAAAATGTTCTTGGCCATTCAAATGAAAACCAAGACATTGAATGTTGCCCAGCTGCACTGTGTTTAACACTACATGGACTTTCTCTCAGCACCCCCAACTCTGACTGACTTCCAGCATCATATGTCCACAAACATCCCGACATGCAGTGCACCTCTGCTTTCTAAATCACAATTCAAGTAACAAACACTAACAACAACTACTTCATTGACTGGACAGATGCTGTGTCTCTCATATGTGATGGAGGGAGATGCATGTAGTGTAAACTCTGTGCAGCCTCAGTCGCATATTGCAGAGCGCATCGAACAGGGATGCGCACCACAGGACAAAATCAAAAACCCGGGTTACATTAAGGGAAAGACACGGAGCTCATCCATATTAGAAGAGTCTTTAATGAACTCAGACCGTCAGAGACACTCCTCCTCCTCCTGCTCCGCGCCCGTAGCCAGTGGGTGCGCGGGATGAGCTCCACAGCTCCGTCCCTATCAGCAAGCATCAGCAGCAGCAGCAGCAGCAGAAGCGGCTCCGCCTTGGAGACAAAGGGAAGCACCGCGAACCAAAGTGTGCAGGAGAAGCCAGTTTTTTCAGAGACAACCCCACAGTGCAGCCGTGCTCGCCCGGAAGAGGCACCCAGACGTGCGCCCTGTCCCTGGAGACTCCTCTGGACTGCGCAAAGATGTGAGAGTAAAAGCGCGAGCGGCATCGTGATTGGCCACACTGTCTCTCTCTCTCTCTCTCTGAAAAGCACCGGGCAACCGAGTCATGCTTCCTCCACCCACAGCATCATCTTCAGCGAGGCGGCATCAAACTTGAGGGAGCTACGTTCGCAGTGTGCACGGTGGATGCGTTCACAGCGTCGACCGTAAACTTGCATCATTCATCCTCTCCTCCCTCCTCCTCTTCCTCAAAGAGGCGGCGGTGCTGACACACAGGGACTTAGCTGATCAACTAGTGAAGAGGAGGAAGACGCTCTCACTCCTCACAGCTGCTCCACAGCTTCATGGTATATGAGAGCTCCACCTACAAGGTAAGTCCAGAGAAGCTGCCTTCCACTCAGGTCTTTGAGGTTTTGTTGGCTGTTACCATCCTCAGACGCTCCCAGCGTCTGATGTGTTGCTGGTCTCAATGTCTGTCAGATGAGAGTGTAGCTGTACAAAGTTACAGCTGCATTATTTTACATTTAGGAAATGAAAGGACCCACACATCGCCTGTTGATTCCATTGATCCTGCTCACTAAGTGTTCAACATTTCAATTCAGAGACATTTCAGCTGTTTTCTGCAAAACTGCAAAAAAAAGAAAATTCTTGGACCAACTTAGTAAAATGCATAATTTCTTATTAGTAGTTTTCATTAGGGTTAGTAATTGTGTAGTTGAACAAACTATTGATTCGTAATAAGAAAGTTATTTTTTCAGTGCTTTGTTCAGAGGAAGTTTGACCCTAATCTGTTAAATTCTGCTCATAGGTATTTAGTACATATATTAAGAGTTTATTTAATTTAATTCAAATATACTGTTGAGCAATTTGTTTTCTCTGGGCTCTTTTATATTTTCACACATGTCAAGGTATGACTTGTGTGTAACAGGTCGTCTTTTCCTACATTATTGGAGCAACGATGAGGAAGTGATTCATCCCACAGTGCTCAATGAATTTTATAATTTTTTCTCTTGGGTCAAACCTGTGGAGGGAGCAGAATCAGAGTAGAGGAGATCAGTGCAGAGCTTTGTGTGCACTTCTTGTTTTGGTGTCGCATTGGATCGCTGTGTTTACTAGACTACAAAAATAGCCACTGCACGCAAACTGGCCCCGGGCACGTATTTTTTGGGTTATGCCACTTTTGTAGCATAAATGATTTTGCTTTAGCATCTTGAACACAACCTTGAGCTGTGTGGTGACTGTAACACTGGAGATGCTCCGGGAGTGCAGTCCAAAGAAATCAGAATAAAAGCTGCCCGTACCAAATCTACACAAACAAAAACAAAACAACAACAACAGAGGAAGCAACTAACACAACATTTCCTGCTTGATTTCCTTTGATTCCTTCAATTCATTATTCAACATCTGTGGTCAGTTAAGAAAGTCTAAAGTCTAAAAGATCTAAAACGGCGTTGTAATTGCAAGTGCTGTGACTTGCTTGCTTTAATCAATTACTCCATGGAGCTGAGAGGGAGCGTGGGAGTCATCAAAGCAGAACAAGACCCTTTTGAGGTGTTAAACCTGTGGCTGAATGACCTGAGTTGCATTTCATTTCAGTGCATGATAAAGCTATGAGCACAATCATACCAGTCTATTGTATTGAAATACATTTGTTATTTGAATCATTAACTGAATTCACTTCGAATTGAGGTTTGCACATTGGTGGCTCAGATCCACAAGTTATACTTAAGTATAAAATACTTTGACCAGCAAAATACTATAGTACAAAACTGTAGAGTCAGATGATCTAACATAATATAATACAGGTTCTGCTGCTGTTTGAGAGATGGTTTCCACTTACGTGTCGATTCACCTCTTAAACCATGGACGGATGAGCATTTCTGCTGGAGTCCGTGCCTGATTAAATTTGTCCTGCATGTCTTCACTAGAGGAAATAGGATTTCCTCCCTAATCTCACCACATGTCGTAATTTAGGCTGGAGACAGGTCCTTTTTTTTCCTGAAAATCTTGTTATGGTACTTGACCTTTGTGTCAGGTTTTAGATTCACTCCTCATGCAAAAACAAACCCTCTGCAAGATCATAAGAAGGGCTGTAATTGCTGGTAAGGTTGCTCAGCAGCTTTAATCAATTACGAAGGCGTCCTCCATCCAGAGAGACGGCGAGCGCAGGTGTCATCAAAGCAGAATGAGGCTCCTTTGAGGTGGGTAAATGTGAGCCTCAATGACTTCACTCAGCTGGGTCACTGGACACACAGCAGAGCTTTGACGCGTACAAATTGTGCTTGAAGATGCTGTGTTCATCCTGGGAGGCTCAGCGGCTGGCAGGGGACCAGCGGAGCGGGGACATTGCACTCCAGATGGCCCAGAGAGGCTAGAGGAAGAGAGCTGTCCAAGCCCAGCTGGGAGCTAGGGAAGCTGGACTGCCGGTAGTGTGTGTGTGAGTGTTTAAGTGATTGTGGGAGGGAGATGGGATGAGAGAAACAGTAAAAGAGGTACGTACGAGGGTGTGTGTGCTGAAGGAGTGATTGGGAGAGAAAGGGAGGGTGAGAGAGAAAATGAGAGGGAATGAAACAAGCGCCTCAGTGTGTGTTTGAGTGTGTGTGTGTGTG